ACGCCTTAGAAGAGCAACACCCTAAAAAAGCAAATAGTAAAATCAATATTTCCTATTGGACAGCATCATACCCCGATATATCTCCCATTGATTGTAGTTAGAGCTCGGTTTAACCAATCGTGCACAAAATGTTGCACAACAAGGAAAAGGGTCTGTGCGAAAAGGTATGATTTGCTTCAAATATATGCCCACTGAGCACGCAAATATACTGATAGTGCGCGTAAATAAAATAAATTGTTTGAGCAGAGCAGTAGGATTTAGGGTGCCAGGGTTTTGAATTCGAGAAAACCTCCCTATCCAGGGAGTTGCTAAAGCAACAGAATCTGATTGCAGTGTCTCTTAAGCTACTTTTTTCAGCAAAATCATCCGAAATTTCCAAAATAAAGTTTTTCTTGTTAAATCTTATCCGTTATCGTAAAAACGTCTCTAAGCTGCTCTACCAATTCGGGAAAGTTTTGGAGAAAGTTAACATGTATATTTCTGTGGAGAAACGTTGGGAGTCCTGAAGAATAGAAAGTGATCACACATTATAAACTTCAGGTACTAAGCAATTTCATGAGGAAGTGGGCCACCGTGTATATTTGAACGGTATGTAAAAAACCGCATCTAGTTGTGTTAGCAACTATTCGTAATCGATGTAGATATTATCTAAATACTGCCGTTTATCCCTGAGAAAGTTAGTATTCAAACAACGTAAAATGCTGCATAAAACATGGTGTTATATTAGTTTGATAACATAATAAGAAATGCGGCTTTCCGTGTTGTTTGTCAGACAAATTATAAATAATTACTCAACATAAAAACGGTTTAAAGCAGAAACGGCCCGAGTGAATGCAAGTTGCGAATTCCTGCATACATGTTATGATAAAGTACTTTTTTTTCGTTGATTTAACAATTAATTAACGTTCCATATATTTAGATAATTAATTGATTTTTAATGGTCTTTTTACACATGTGCTCAATAGGCTGCATCAATTGCTTTGATGTTATCTCGTTACTTTTGACTGTACGAACTGATTAATCCAGCAATCCGACAATTTGAATTTTTCTTCCATTTACCTGCGCATATAATGAAGCTTTGGAAATCAGAGCTAACCGTTGATGATGAAGAGAATTTCACGGTTAATAGTTTATTCAGCTGATTCATTACATAATCATGGGTAATTAAAGTGGGTGTCAATACCATTATTTCATAATTCTGTTACGGTTTTTTTATTGTCTTAAGCGGGATTTCTCGTGTTCGTTATTGCAGTATGGGAATGAATTTTATGCATTGTTAATATGTATGTTTACTCGTATGTATGTCATATTCTTCATAGTGATGAGCGAGCCTGGATTTGGCCTTGCAACGAAAGCAAGCCACATCTAGACATCTATAAATCCTTTGAAGAAGAAAAATTGAAACTTCAAAGCAAGACAAATTGAACGCGATTATACGTTAATAGAAACCACATTATTGAAAGAAACTTCAAGCAATTATTGCAACATCATAATTAAAGTAACTCATCGGAACATCCTGCATTTAACAAATTGGACATACCGCAAATATGGTACTGCCCATGTTGTGGTTATTACCTCGGTGCCGTTATGTGGCGACAAAAATGACGTTGCAAAATAATATTCTACTGTTAGAGTGATTAAGTGGTGAAATTAAAATGCTTTTGGCTTTCCGATAGAGTTCATATAAGGCTCGATAATTACGCTCCCATGTGAAATAAAGGAAATATGGGCTTTTTCGCTAATATTCAAAAGTGTCCAAACAACATGAAAATCATTAAGTTATTAAGTGCACTATTGCAGTAATTTTGTGTTAAAAGTGCTGGTTGTTAACTGCGTACAAAAATAAATAACATGTTTAACCAGTACCTACATACAAACAGCTTAATATAATAATACAGTTAGCTACAAACCACAAGCGAACAATAAACAGTCTAAACCTATCCAAAGCGGGAAATTCTTTCAGTTTTTTTTTATGTGAATTTAAGTGATTTGTTGCAAGAATTCAGAAACTGCTATAAAAGCAGTATTACTTGCATTATGTGAAACCGCTGATTGCTCAGTGTCTAATGCACGATAGAAGAGTCCAAACAATGTAATAAATAATGTAAATCGTGATTTTTGATATATCTTAATAAGTTTCTGAAACAGTAAACTATCAGTTATTGGCCGCAGTAGAGCGATTGTTTCTCCTCTCGTTTAATTAAAGTTAGTTAGGAAAATAGCGGAACGGAATTGACGTTTCATTGGCCATCTAATTAACGAGAATAACTATTTTAGTTAATTTAAATGTGATATTCCCGGTTGAATATTTTTACCGTTTATCAACATAAAGTGTCTTTTGTTTAAATGCGATGTTGAACGGACAGCCCTGCCGACATTTCATAGGGAACATGTTATTAAGTTCCCAAAGCATCGTCGAATTTAGATTTAATCACTCAGGGTTTCCGTTACTTTCTGGTATCGTATCATCTTGGAAAATTTGGCATGGTATGCTCAAAACAGAGATTGCTTAAGGTGTCCCATTAATTCCCATTAAAAAGTCGAATCTGCCTTTTGCTGGAACACCGACATATCCGACATAAATTTGCAACAAATTTAATGCAAATTTACATAATTTCAGATCGACTATACGTTACCAAATTGCACAGGTCGCAGATCGACATCAACCTCATCCATCACACATACACATCATAGCCTGTGGCAAGAAAGGCATCATCTTAGGACTCCTATATCTTGTATAGGTCGGTACACACACGAATTAACTATACAGGGTGAAACCTTACCAAACAATGTTGTAGGTGTGGACAGAAAACCTTCAACGTCCAAAGGCAAAGCATGTTCAATAGCTCTGGCCATAGCTTCATTTATAGTTCTAGTTATAGTTTTAGCGATAGCTGGGTTAGCTTTATACATGGGCATCTCAAACACAGAATCCCCTGCTAGTGGTGAGAATCTACCCCCGAACACAAACACCCTCTAATGCGTTATTCCATACATTTCAGCAACGATCACGTTTAGCTGTAGTGCAAAAGTTCTCAGGGGAGATAGGTTTATAGGGGCTTTGGACGAGAAAGCTTCAAAATACAAAAAACAAATCGAGACGTTGTACCAAAGAAGTTCTTTGGGCCCGGCGCTTCTTTCCGCCTCTGTGGACAGATTTGGCAAAGACGGCGTTACTATTTATTTTAGATTAGCTTTCAATAGACGAAAACTCGTCGAGTAAGTTGAATCAACCCCGAAAAAACATCTTATCAATCAAACCGCCTTTTCAGAGATCTCACAAACATAGAAAAGGCAATAAAGGACATCTTCCTAAGCGACTCATACGCAAAGAAACCGATTTTTAGGAACGTAAGATTTGACCCAAGAAGCATTATGATTCGGCAAGTCCAAAAAACCGCTTCAGGTCCAACAGTGCCTCCTAAAAATTCGCTTAAGCCAAACAAAATGGGCGTTGTTCTAAAATCGACAAAGAATTCCACAGCGTTTAGTTCAGTAACGAGTACTGCGAAGCCAATAATCAAAGATGAGCCAGAGTTCAACGAAGAAGACTTACCAGTAATCCAAGGTTCCTTTATGATAAGTAAAACTGAGGCTGATATTACACAGAAAAAGACTGGAACATCAGAAACCAAAGGCAGACCTGATAAACCAACAAACGCACCGACTCGAAAAACCACGTTCAAAGAGTCCTCGGTGACTAGCGCTCCTTATAAAATTCCTGGCATCAAGGGGAAAATTACGAAAGTGATTTCCCCTACAGCACCCAGTTCGACTACACCACTGACCACCCAATCAACCACCACCACGCCTACCACTTCTAAAACTACGTCAAAATTTAAAGGTATTTGCCACCAACACTCATTAAGAATATTAAAAATTACGCAATGTTTTTGCAGGAAGTCCCCAGATTTCGGACGAAGAGCCATGGATTCCAATTTTACCAAATCTGCCAACATTTACCAAAGGAGAACCGCCTGCCAATGAGAACATCCCGGTGTACACCAGTTTCACCAATCCTGGCTTCTCGTTTCAAGGCGAAGAGAGTGAACGTTTGGGATCAACCAGCCTAAAAAGCCACCCGATTCCTGTTAATAAAATTCCATTTACACACCCCTATGTTGATGCTAGCACCGAACCCACCAAGGTTCATGTTGTGGAAATTACAACTAATAGCGTCACACCGGAAACCGAACCAAATTCCAGCTTTATCCAAATAGAAACTATTAATCATGAAGCAGAACCATCAGTCGAAGACGATGTTGCTCAAGAATATCCAATGAAGAACATATCCACCATTTTTTACGACTTAGCTACAAGTTTGGAAAAGAGCAATATGTCTGAAATTGAGGAGGACATGATTTATCAGCCGGAGTTCAAAGAACCATCTGGGCAAGGGCATGTTGAGGTTGTAGAGGTAGATGTAGAAGAGCTGCTCACGCATACGACGAAGATTCCGTTGGTGACGCTCCTTCCAGTGCGATCCAACTCGGGAGTAGGACGTCCATTCAATCGACATCGTCTGGGGGATAGCAATAATCTATCAGTGGAAAACCGAAGCTTCCCCAGTCAGCTAACCAAGCAAAACCTGGACGTGCACGTTAAACAAAAAAACAAGACTAGAGCAGTTCCAAGTCCCACGAATGTTAGCAGCGCTGACAACTATAGAATCACAGGTATCCTGAACTTCGCAAAAGAAGGCTTTGACGAAACGGAGTCTGCTGGTCATTCAGACATTGTGAGGTTCCCCAAAATGGATCAAGTTCCTGAAGATCAGTCAGGATATTCTGTGACATTTTCGTCGTCCGTTTTATCTAATGGCGAGAAAACCACCAAACACTCCAATCTGCTGACTGCGGCGCAGATTAAGCAACTGTCCGAAATCAGCAACATTCATGACAATGAAACTCTGTTTGAAGCAGAGCCTGTAATTTCCACCAAAGCACTGTCATCTAGCTACTCCACTAATCACAACGGCTTTAAAATTTTAACCAAAACATTCAACAAAACGCCGGATAATTTAAAGAACAACGACACCAACAGCTACACTAAGCTTGGGTTCAATATCAAGCACTTGGAAATAGGTATGAGACTCTTTGACTGTAGGACGCACCTTCTTTCACAAGCTGAATTCGTTTTTTTTGCTTCCAGACTGCGAAGACTCGGGCTTTAAATGCGGCGATGGAAAATGCCTTCCAGAATCAGCAAAGTGTAATCAACTAATAGACTGCGCGGATGGAAGTGACGAGGAAAACTGCAATTGCGCTGACTACCTCAAGTCGCAATTGCTGACCAATAAAATGTGCGATGGTGTAGTGGATTGTTGGGATTTTTCAGATGAAAATCAATGCAGTAAGTAACTCAATGCCATCGGCATTGATATTATTATTTACTCTGATTTATTTTCCTGACTGCGTGTACTTTGTTATTAACATCGTTTATTTCATTACGTTTTGGCGAGACCACAGCGCCATCATCAGATTTAAAATTTACGCAAACTCATGATTGGTAAAAATCAACGTCCTTTTAGGTCTTTGCCTTCTTGAAAACCCAGGGCAAAGACCTAAAAGGACGTTGATTTTTACCAATCATGAGTTTGTGTAAATTTTAAATCTGATGATGGCGCTGTTGTCTCGCCGAAACGTAATGAAATAAACGATGTTTCAAAATGTTTACTTCACACTTTGACTGAGAGCCAGGAAAGATAGGAATATCATAACAATATTATTGTTGAGGCGGATTCATTTTTTTACGAATTTCTTTTTGGGATTTCGCCTCAAAAATTTTTGCCTTTAAAAAAGACAGAATTTCCTCACGTCTTTTATTACAGATTGATTGAGTGCTCCTATTCCGCAATAAGAACGAATAATTTATCAAAAAGTAATCAAGAACTATCACCTAGAGGGTATCATGCGACACACTTAGGCTCAAGCTGTAAGAGAAAATTCCAATTAGTAAAGAAATTAATTTGAAAAATTACCTTGACGTTTCGATAGCTATTTTCTG